AACGAGGGAACAAACATATTAAATAAATAACAGCACTGAGGAGCAGAACGTCCCCAAACAAACAAACAAACAAACAAACAAATAAATAAAAAAATAAATAAATAAAAAATCAACTAAACAAGCAAAGAGAGCCCCCAGGCAAACAAAGAAATTACAACAGCAACAATCTATGACGTTCCCTTCAATATTTCTTGTTTCTGCTGTTCACAGTGTGCTTCATGTTTTATATTTCATGTTTAGTGTTTAGGGTTTAGGGTTTAGGGTTTAGGGTTTAGGGTTTATGTGTGTGGTGATAGGGACGAATCTACTGAAGCACACGCGTTACGGGTGCCCTCATCTGCGTCAGTTTCAGCTGTCTGCTGACTGCCGCCGTTTGCTGTGGTACAGCAGCAGCAAAGGGAGAGCAGCAGCAACAATATGCTGGCAGCAGATAGAGGGTTTAGTATTGGGGCAGAAATCTATAAACTTTTTATCTTATCGTATACCTTCACTGCAGCATCTTAGTTTCTCTCTTGTATTTAAACATGAAAAAACTTTTCTTGATAAAGCTGCTGCTGCTGCTGCTGCTGCTGCTGCAGCAGCAGCACCTGCTGCTGCTGCTGCTGTTGCTGCTGCTACTGCTGCTGCTACTCCTCCCCCTCCTCCTCCCCCTACTGATACTGTTGTGCTGCCCCCATCGTGGCTGGAGACAGCTCCGCGTACACTCGACTTAACCTGCAAAGACGAAGCAGAGTTTGACTTTTGGGTTGCCGGCTGCAAGGCCCTCATTGCTGCAGCAAAAGGAATTAAGCTATCCAAGCTGCAGCTGCTTTCTCACTCACGTAGATTTCTGTAGGTGGAGAGAGAGGTTTATAAGGGTTTATATCTGCTGCTGCTTATCTGCTGCTGCTGTTGTCTATCTATTGCTGCTGCTGCTGTGGTGGTGCTGCTGATGATCTGCTGACACTGATGCTTATATGCTTCTGCTGCTCATGTGCTGCTGCTTCTGCTGCTCACCTGCTGCTGCTGCTGCTGCTGCTGCTGCTGCTGCTGCTGCTGTTTTGCTGCTGCTGCTGCAGCCGCGCAGTGGAGAGGTGTGAGGCGACGGTGCAGCTAACAAAGCTGCCGGAGACGGCCAACCGCGCGGGGCTGCAGGACTGCATGGAGCTGCCCTGGCACCCCCCTGAAGAACTCGAAAAGTCTGGCTGAGGGTTTAGGGTTTAGGGTTTAGGGTTTAGGGTTTAGGGTTTAGGGTTTGGGGTATAGGGTGCCCTGACCCTGGCATACCCCTGAAGAGCTCGATATGCTTCTCTGAGGGTTGAGGGTTGAGGGTCTAGCGTTTAGGGTTTAGGGTTTAGGGTTTAGGGCTCGGGTCGTGCTGCTTAGGGTTTAGGGTTTAGGGTTTAGGGTTTAGGGTTTGTGTGTGTGGTGTCTGCCCCAGGAAGTATGAGGAGCAAATCCTTCGCGTTGAGGCCGCTGCCGAGGAGGTGAGCTGACAAACGAAAAATAAAAATTAATTTATTTGCTTATTTGTATATATATATACATACATATGCATATATGTATATATACGTATATATATATATATATATATATATATATATATATATATATATATATATATATATGCTGTGAAATATATA